GTGCGGCGTCCAACACCCCAGCGCACACACCCTTCGAAGACGGAGGAGGAGGCGCCGAGCCCGCAATGGGGCAGCAATAAAGGAAGGAAAACAAAAAAAACCCAACATGTGGGCTCCAGTGACCACAAGAGTCGCAAACAATTACAAATTAGGAGGTCCTGCTTGTTTTGTCACCACACCACTCAGAGCACAGAAATGCTGGCCAGGGCTGCAACCAGCAGAGGGGCAGCGGCCATCGTGGCGGTGGTCGCGTCTGTCTTGGAGGTCGTGCAGGCATCCGCTTCGGGCTGTTTGTCTCCGGCAGCAGAAGCCTCGGGGTTTGTTGTAGTAGACGAGACTTGGGTGGCATCAGGCTCCTCTTTCTTAATTTCTTCTTCAATAGGAGTGGTCTCCTTTAGAGTGACCGCTGCCTTGTTCGATGAGGATTCTGTTTGAGCGTTGCCACCACCATCTGGTGGGCTCTGTTGAGCTCCCACCGCAGCTGGGGATGAAGCAAGTGCAGATTTATCAGAGCTGGGTCCGCTGGCAGCCTGATCCGTCTTTGCAGGGGAACCCGCTGGCGGTGGAGCCGCGACGCTGTTTGGATTCCTGGATCCCGGGCCTGCCGGCATCGAATCCGTGCCCGTGGCCTGCTGGTGACATGCCCAACGTCCCAGGCGAACCGCCAGCCCCCTTCTGTTGTGGTGCTGTGCTGAGTTGAGAAACTCGCTCAGGTAACGCATCCACGCTCCTTTCGTGAGTTACGTTTGGGACATCTTCTGTAATCTCCTGTGAGTTAACTTTCTCCAGACAAGTTTTCGCCTTAAGAGTTGACTTTTGCACCTCCTTCCCATCAGTACACCGAAGTGCAGCGTCTACATCCGCAAGGTCCAAGGGCTCCTTTTGTGGACAACTAATGGGGACCACGTGAGCCTGTGGGTGAGCTGCTCACTGCCGGTTTCGGAGTCCCCTCGCTGCCCATCGAGAGCCCGGAAGGAAGGCACTTTTTATCCGAAGTGGCTGATTGTTCTCACATTCTTGAATAACATCATCATTGCCTTTCCTTTCGTCTTCGCTCTCTTCTGCCACCTCACCTTTCTTTTCCACTTTCGTCTCTGACCCACGCGCTGGCTACGGCTCCAGCTCAGAATCATCGGCCAGAACAACACTTTTTTCTTTGCAATTCTCACGTTCCGCTTCCTCTGTGTCAACACACAACGCCTTCTCCTTGGCCGTAACGCAAATCGCTGTGCAGCACCACAGTGCGAGGGCTAACACACAGACCACATTGCGTGCCATTTTCGTTTATATCCCTTGAGCAGCTGGGGTCTGCAGGGAGGAGAAAAGAGAAACGATGCACAGCAGGCAGCCCCAACACACACACACACGGAGCGGAAGGGAGCAGCAGGCACAACACAGGCGGCATCAACCATGATTAAAAGAAACCCATTAGAGAAAAGAGAACTGGACGGCGGAAGAGGCGCACACACTCCGCTGGAGTCCAAGCACACAAGGCCCCAAACAAAGAGGGAACAACGAGGCAGCAGCAGCGCACGTGGACGCAATTGTACTGCTGGCGCTCACGTCGCTTTATGTGTGTCCCGGTGTGAGTGGCGCAGACACGGTGGGAGGGGCAGAGCGAAGGACGCACCGCACACACAGAGATGAAAAGAGTATCCCCCAGCAGGAGAAACAGTTCACGGACAGCGAACAGCAAACCCCCAACACCCCCAAACCCAAACAACCAAGAATTAAAACAATTTTCACCTTTGGAAAGCACCCCACCACAAAGCCCAAGTGGCGTCAGTGCTCCCTCCCGTCACTGCGATGGCGCAGCGGAGAGAAAACAAGAAACAAAAACAACGGGGGTGAATTCACCATACGAGCCGTCCCCGCAGCAGCGGAAACTTCTTTGCAGGCATCTCTCCTTAATCCCGCTGCGGGAGCAAATGCATTTCCCCACAACACACACACACAAGCACGGATACTTGAGGACACGGAACATGCGGTGGTGCGGGGTCGTGCACTTACTGTGGAGCCGCACGCGTCCGCCAGCCCAATG